ATATTATCCTATAAGTAAAGATATAAATAAATGCCTATGGAGACGAAAATAGGAAATATTTAAGAGGAATAATAAACTAGATATAATAAGTATAAAAGTTTAAAAGAATTTAGTGAATATTCTAAAAAAATTGCTACTCCTTTTGGCTGAACCTATTATCCAGATGGTTATAACTCTCAAGATATAGTGTCTTTAAGACTAGATGAAGCATTACGAGAAATAAAAAGTCGCGGACGAGGTATTCCAGTAGATGGAATTTACTCTATCTTAGGTTTATTGCCTTATGGTCGCGATGCAGTAGTTAAATACAAAGAAAATATATGCAAAGATTGTAAAAATAAAGAAACAGAACAGAAGAAAAGTATAATCTGCGATCATTCCCAAGATCTAAAAACAGAGTGGGCTACATACTTCAAAGAAGATGCGGAAGAAGCTTTGGTAGAGGTAATGAAAGCAGCAATTAAGAATGGATATGGTGAACCTTTAGCTTGGTTTGGATCTGGAAGTAAAACTAAATGGAGATGCTGAATACCAGAATTAATATTTACGGAGGATGAGAATGCAAAATGAGAAGAAAAACAGAGAAATGGTTCAACCAAAGTGGTAGGTGGAATGCACATTAAATATATAGTGCCTAAAGATAAAAGTGGCAATATTATAATTTATCCGGATGAAGTTATTACAAATAAAGGCATTAAAATACATGGTTCTAAATACACTATAACTAGTTGTGGAGAAAGCATAGATAGGGTTGATGAAAAATCAGTAGTAGATGGCGGTCTCTATCGAAGAGAAGCGGAAGTAGATATAGGAGGTGGATGAAATTTTTTTAATAAGAAAGAAAATAAAGCAGATTTATCATTATGGGGTACTCGAGAGACCTTGGAAAAGCTAGAGAGAGGACAAGAATTAATAATACCTAATAAAAACTGAAAAAGCAAAGACAGTGAAGCGTTTGCTATTTTGATGTCTGGTAATCATAGGATAGATCTAGTAAGATTAGGAGGAGAAGTAGAAGAATTAAGAGGAAAAGGGGGAGAACCAATGGTAATTGGTATGGACGATAAGCATTCAGAACGTCAATATCAGGCTCAGATTGAAATTCCTATCAAAGGCAATAACTAATAAAAATAGAGTCTGAATCTCTAGTTAGTAATATTTTCTCAGTAGTTTGGTATTTATTTACAAAGAAATTACAATCTTCCCGCTTTCCGATACCGATTAAATTCCGCCTTTCGTAAGGAAGGCATACTCTCTTTTTTACTTGCTAAACAATTACCACATAAAATTCTTTCTTTTACTACTAAACCTCAAAAATTAGGATCATTCCGATTCTTAATTACTCGTTTTTTACTAGCTACGGGAATACTTGTCTCGCATCTTTCACACCAAGCATAATCATCACTACTAACCCTTACTTTCTCACTCTTTACACACTGACACTCCTTTAACTTTTCTCAACTTCTTTTTAAATTGTCCTTAATTAATGAATAATGTTGCTGGGCTTCTATTTCTAAGCATTGGCAACTAGCAAGGTGATTACTATCTTTGAGTCAGACTGGTAAATACTCATAATTCTCCAACCATTCAGTCAAGTGAATTCCTCACCTTTTCTGATATCATTTACTCTGTTCTAAAAAACTAATGGCACCACTAGCACTACCTTCTTTTTTCATTCGGCAAGGTTGACAAATTAACTTATTTTCTTCATATAGGTAATAAGCATCAACAGCTAAACTTCCGCATTGCTTACAGCCTTGATAACTCCTTAAAAGTTGGTATTGCTGATAGTTGGCTTTTCTTGCCAACAACTTTTGCTGATAAACTTGCTGGTAATCGCTATATTCCTCAGCTTTCTCTTGTTCCGTTTGGTAATAGCAAAAACAGCAATAACTCTTGGTGAAAGATCGGAATGAATTCTTTCCTTTTCAATCACTATCTCAGTCAGTCAGTTTCCCACAAGGTTTTCTTTGTTTACAGCCAACACAATAATAACTTTTAAATAGGGTCTTTTCTTGGTTAAGTTTCTTTCAACTTTGATTCATATTCTTAAACCCTATATTTCTAGGTTATTAAATTAAACATAGAATTTATATAGCAATTTTAGATATTCCATCGCTCACAAAAATTGACCGCTTTATAATCCATTTTAGCATAGTCTATATACTCGCACACTACCATACACAATCATTCCATTAAAGTAAACTAATGGTGCTTTTCTTTCTCAATACTCTATTCTACTCTTAATAATTTTCTCATCGAAGTAAGTTAGGGCATGCCGAAAAGTAGAAGTTAGATCTCGCTTATTTAATTCTGCTATTTCTTTATAGACTGTTTCTTTTAGTTTTTCGAAAGTTCAAGCCCGAACTTTTCCAAGATTATGCTTAATTAAACCACCAATTGGTTCGGCTGGATTCAACATTGGAGAGTGAGCGGGGAAGTAATCAATAGTCATATTCTTTTCCGCTAACTGTTTTTCAATGGTAGGTAAACCCAATGCTTTTCTTTTATTAGGAGCCCGATGAAAAGGAACATTATCCATTAATAGACAGCTTTTTTCAGTTGAAGGCTTGAGTTTATTTAAGTAATCGTAAAAGACTTTAGTATTGACTTTTCCAACCAAAACTTCACCATAAATTATTCATCTTCTTTCAGTTCTTTGAAGACAAATAATGAGTGTGATGCTAGCACTTTTATTCTCTAATCTAACACTTTTTTTGTTTGGCTTGAGAACTCAAGCTCGTTTACCGCGTGGAGCTCAAGCATAACGAGGGATTCCATCTAAATAAAGAGGGAACTCATCTAAACAAGAAAATTTAGTTAAAGGAAGATGTCAAGTTCTATTTCTAAATCGTTCAATTTCATCCCATCTTTGCTCAAGAGGTTTATAAGTGATTCTCTTTCAGGTTTGCTTATTCTTTTTCAAGAAGCGAGCAACAGTTTGGCGACTAACAAAAAGCCCCTTTTCTTTAAGCCTTTACGCCATTTCTTCTTGAGTTATATCATTAATACTGTATAACTAAAATAATAATATGGTAAAGCAAATGTTAAGTGTTAAAATTGATGCCGGTGTCTTCCAACAATTAAAAAGCGAAATCAGTAAAGGAAATATCAGCGGATTTGTAGAGAGAGCAGTGGCTAAGGAACTCGGTAAGCATGACGATAAACTAGAAAGAGAACAAAAAGAATTTCAAAAGAAGTTAATTGCTGATTATAAACGAGCAAGTAGTAGTAAAAATCTCCAAAAGGAGGAGAATTTGTGAGAAGAAGTGATTGGTGAGTGATTAGATGAATAAAGAAACGAAATCGTCGTTAGACCAAATAATAGACAAAATCCCCAAGCAAGGAGAGATTTGAATAACTGATTTTAACCGCAAAAGAGAAAGAGAAAATTTTAAAATTCGTCCAGTCTTGATAATGAGTAATGATTGACAAAATCAGCACGATAAATATGCCGTAATTGCTCCCTTAACAAGTGACAAAGAAGAATTAAAAAAAAGCATAGCATCTTTTGAAGTATTAATTGAACCTAATGAAAAAAATGGTTTAGATGAGACTAGCAAAATTCTTCTCAATCGCTTACAAATTGTCGATAAAGACTTTCGTTTAATTAGGAAAGTAGGACAAGTAGATAGTAAAATTTGGAAACAGGTTTGGAAGGCTTTGTGAATTGTCTTTACTGGAAAAAACTTGTAGAGCAATAGTGGGTGGATTAAACTTATTAAAACCTGTCTCGTCTCGTCATAAGAAAAGGAACTTAAACTTTTACAAACGAACTAGTCTTTTTTGCTTGTTTTTAGCCTTAATCAGTAGTAGTGTTTTAGTTTATCAACGACGAACTTTAAGAAATCAATTACAAAGACTAGAAAACAAGCCCAACAAGAATACTTACACCTCCAAGAAATTGATTTAATTTCTATTTCTACTAATGATTTAAATTATATATAATAAGTAAAAGTAAATTTCTATGCTATCCAAGGAAGAAACAATCAAGCATTTTAAAAACTATAAGTAACAATTTTAACATACAACAATGAAAAAAAATTTAGAAAAAACAGAAAAGTTAGAACAACTAATCAAAACTGAACTCAAAAAAAAAGTAAAGGGACCAGTGATATGGAGTAAGGATCTAGAAATAACTCGTTTCGCTACTGATAAAAATTATGCTATCATTTTTAACAGACAGGCTTTTCGACTTATTACTTACGAATTTGTTAATGAAGAACAAATAAAAATAACCTCGATTAGAAGATATCCTGATTCAAGTCTGTTGTTTAAATATTCGACGCTAGAAAGGGCACATGAAGAAGCAAAAAAAGTTGAAGAGGGAATTAAAACTCAATATGAATTGCAGGAATTAAAGTCTAAAGAGTTACCAGAATTAGAAGAAAACCTAATTAGGGAAAAAAATAAACGATTAGAAGATAAAAAAGATGAGTTTGTAGAAAAAAGAAGTACTGCAACTAATAAAAAAGAAAAGGCACAGAAAAAATTAAGGATTTATTTAAGTTCTGTTAGGCGACAAAATGATGATGACTTGAAGTTTGCAGGAGAAGAAGCAAAAGAATGACTTTTAAAGGGGCAAGTAAGAGATTCTGAACTTACTAAATTACTAAATGAAATTTGCGAAAAACAACAAGAAATCACTTTATTAGAAAGAAAATACGAGTCCCAAATATTGAAAGAAGGATCACAAATTCCAGTTAGAGAAGAAAATATTAACTCTGAAGAAAATAAAGCCTTAGAATTGCAAGTCGATAAAACTGAAGTTCAAATTGGATTTCCAACTCCGTGAGGTTTTGCGGGAGCAAGCGGAAAAAGAGATCGAACTCGTCTGGTTATTAATGAACAATATTCACAAAGTCAACAAGTAGTGGAATTAGGGAAAAAAATAGTTGATCAGAAATTAGAAACTCAAGAGCAAGAGCAACAAACTCAACAAGAAGTTCCGCCTAAAGGCAACAATTAGAAATAGTGATTAATCAAAGACAAAAGAAAGAGAAGATAATAAACTTTTTCAATTCTGAATTTTTGTTTTATTCTGAATATTAGGAGGAATTTCTCCACAGTTTTTATTTCTAGGAAATTTTAACAATTTCTTAGATTTGTTTTCAATAGGTTTCGCTGGTTCTTTTGGTGCCTTTCCTGCTTAATCATTTATTATTGAAAAATTTTTCTTTTATTTTTCATTGCTAGAGGACATCATTAGGATTTCCTTCGTTTTCGGTTATCCGATCAGGAGTTAGTCCTTTATAGGTTTTTAAGTCACTTATTACTTGGATTCAAAAGCTTTTTATTTCTTGATTTTGCATGATTTTATAAAAGAGTATTATCTAAATTCCCTTTTTTTTAAAAACTTATCTAAAAAGCATTCTAGAAAATCTTTTGATTTTTATCAATTATCTGTCGATTGAACCTGAAAACTTCTCATTTCTTCTTCTGATTGAGAAGTGAGTATCTTCGGTCAAGCAGCAGAATACTTAACTATCTTTCTAATCGAAACTTCTGGATTTTCAAAAAATTCTTTAGAATGCCTTACCTTTTCTTTAAGATTTGCATAACGCAAACTGTTTGTAGCAACGTTGAGAATTACTCTAATAAGATCAATAAATTCGTTTTCATTATCATCATTAATTTTTAGTTCTCTTTTAATTCACAAAATTTTCTTTTCAGTTGAAACTCTTCAGGATATGATTTTTTTAACAATAGCTTCCCCTCCCAATGGAATAGAATTAACAAATTCCTGAAATCTTGAACCGATATTAAAAACAAGATGACCAGGATTAAGATTAGATCCAAAAAAAACTAAAGATGATTGTCGAGAAAAATTAAATCCATAAACTAAAAAATTGGCAAAATGTTCACAATTAGAATTAGGAGCACTATAGTTTCCTTTTCAACGATTGTTTAGTAAAATTTTACGAATGTGAGATTCAATTAACCCCTTTCTTTTAAAAGGAACAAATGGACGATTAATTTTTAAATTAAACTTACTTTTGTCTTTGCCTCCTTTTAAAAAATCTTCGAATGAACCTTTGACAAATCCTGGATCTTTATCTCTTCTGATATGAATAACTTCTCCTCCTCCTAAATAAACTCCAACATGTTGATATGCACCAAAACTTCTATCCACCTTTAAAATATCGAAAGGCTTTAGAAATTGTCAAGATTTTTTAGATTCAAGAAGATCATATTCACTATTGTTATATTTTTTTTCAATTCTATAATCTTCAGTATCAAAATCTTCTCAAAGAAAAAAATTTGTTAATTCAGAAATCAGTTCTTTACAATCGATATAATCAAGAACATAAGCTACTCCTTGAGAAAAAGGCGAAGAAAGTGGAGGAAACTCATCAAATAATAAAGATGGTTGTTCATCATCAAAAAGAGTTTTTATTCGGTTGATTTTTTCTAATTTCTTATTTTCTCACTCTGAAGACGAACAATTTAACTCAAATATCTTAACAAAATTTGTTAGTTCCTCGATGGGATCATAAGAAGAAATGTATAGTTCATGAGAAATTTTAAAAAGATCTTTTTTCTCGGAGTAACAAAGTAAAAAATAAGAAATTCCTGCATCTTCTTTAAGAGAAATTAATTCATCAACTCTCCCTTTAAATTTATCTGCATAAGAATTAGCTTTTTCAATTCCTTTTGAAATTTTGTTACTCAAACTTGCACTAAATAAAGAAGTTTTTTTAACTATGTTAGAACCTAATAAATTAGCTTTTTCTTTAGCTTCAGAAGAAGCCTTATTTAGAATTTTTTGATATTTGTTCTTTTTCCCTTCTAGAAATTCACTTTTTATAATTTCTTGGATTGACATTTTTATTAGAATTATACTATTTATAATATAGTATATTATGTGTTTTTTGCTAATTTCACAGATCAATAACTGATTACTATCTCAACTTTTTATAGTTTAACACATTAACTTTTTTATCTATAATCTATATTTTTATTATTATACATAACTTTTTAGCATGTATATTTTAAAAAGAATAAACATTTTTTCGATTTACTTTATTTACTTTTTTAGGCTTGGATTAGTGATTTTTCTAATCCTTCTTTATCATTTTTTAAGTTAGTAATATTTTGTCACACTTGGCTATTTCTTGGGATAAAAATTGGTTTTTTTCCTGCAAAAGTTAATTATTATCAAATATTTTTTAAAACCTTTATCAGAGATTAAGAGATAAGAGACTTACAGAGATTAGAGTCAGTTCAGTTCGGAAACAACTCTAACCTTAAAGAGAAAATATAAAAATAAAAGAAAAGCAAAAAAAGCAGTTAAAAGATAAAATCAAGGCAAATACTTACCTAGTAAGTAAAAACCAAACCCCCTATTTTTCGGCAAAAAAAGCGATATACTCCAACCCTCGCTTCCTTTCGAAACTAAAATATAGAATATAGTTGTATAATCCTATATGTTTGGTTCTCATTTTCAGAGGTCGGCCAGTTAAGTAAATAGTTTTTGTTAGACTATCATTGAAATTACGATACTGTTTTGCTCTCGGTTTACTCTAACTAGATTACTAGTTTCAACCGACGAGTTTCTGTGGTATTACGATTTCTATCGCCCTAGTTAGTAATCTAATTAGTTAGTTGTTGGTGATGTTTCAACCGAAACAGCGACTTAGCTTCCGTATTAGCTCGCAACCAGTTAGTTTTTTTTACTGACTGGTTGTGGGAATAATGAGTTAATTTCCCAATAAAAGAAATAAAAAAGTTCTTATTTCCTTTGTTCGAAAATTAATGCTTTAAAAAGCACAAATATCTTCTCCTCTTTTTTTGAAATTAAGTTAAAAAAAGTTAAATTTTCCCTTCCTTTCTGAAAATTTTCTGATAAAAGTTTTTTGGGATTAATCCTTTTTGAGTAATTGTCGATTACCATTTTCGTTGAATATTCAAAGCAACCAATAGGCTACTTGGTAGGTAATCGACATTTTCCAACACCTTTTACCTACTGATTGTTTTCAATACTCAACTAGTATATTTTATATTTTTATTTTAGCAATTTAACCAATCTTTACTTTTTTGCTAAAATAACGAGATGAAACATGACATTTACCAACTAAAATTTTTTATTCTTTTTTAAATAATCTTAACTTTCTAACCAATCTATTCCTATCTTTCCTTAACCTATTCCGTAGAATTATTCCTTAACACTATGGATTTTTTGTGTTAGTTTTAGGTTTTTTGTTCTCATTTTCCCTCGTTCAACTGCCGAATTTGCTCCGCATATTTCTGATGCTGACAATGAGAACAATCTTTCTTGGTCTCCTGCTCTAATTCACTTAATCCGCGAACGATCTTTTTAGTTGCTGGTTTAGGTTTATTTATTTCCGCAATGAGCGAAGTTAGCAGTTGCTGTTTTTTATTCATAAATTAAAAATTTAGTTCTAAAACTTGGTTTTTTCTCCTTTTCCCTAAATGATAGCCAATTGCTAAAACAAAAACCCCAAAAATTATTAAGCCACCAATTAGCAAAGAATTATTATTATTTTTTGGTTGAAGATTGGGCGAATTTTCGTGCTGAATAAGAGTTTGCAAATATTGAGTGTTTTGTTGCTGTTGGTTATTGCCACTAGTGGTTAATTGTTGAGCATAAGTTAATAAATCCGTTAGAATAGTTCCTTTAAAAGAATCAACTCTAATTTTCTTTTCTTTAATTCCTTGAACTAGTCTATTAAATTGCTGAGTGGTTAAATTATTCAAATTTTTAGCTTTTACTGGGTTATTTTGCAAGTTTATTTTTTCTAAATTAGGAAATTTAGTGAATAAGTCAGCAAAATCTACTTCCTTGATTTGATTACCAAATAAGTTAATCCCTTTTAATTGCTCTTTATTAGGTAAAGTATTTAAGAAATTAAGGTTAGTAAGCTGATTATTAGAGACATTTACTCCTTTTAAATGGGTAAATTCACTTAAATTAGTGATTTCGCCCGTTAATTGCTTATTTTGGTTATTACAATTTTCACATTTACCGGCTAAGTTTTGGTGACAAGTGGCACACTGATAACCTTGTTTTTGTAGCTGATTATTTAAGTCCAAATAATAAACTCGGGACTTATTTACTAAACTGTTAAGATATTCTTGAATCTGACGAGACATATTTTTTACTAATAATTTTTATTAGTATTTTATAGTAGTTCAGTGGTCTGGCTAAACAAAAATTTCTCCTTTTTGGGGAGAATATAAACTTACTGCTTTCCGATAAGTCTTGAAATTATTCTCATTCTCGGTAAACTCAATCTCTACTTCTTTAATGTTTTCATAGTTATTTACCAAATTATTTCAACCATCTTTAACAGTTTTCTCAAAACAGAAAAAAGCTTCATCCGGATTATCTTGATTAACAATTAGATAATAAGGATTGAGATTTCGGTCTTCTAGTTTTTTAATGGTGATATTTTTGAGACTAATATTTGGCATATTATAGATATTTTTTAACAAAAACTTATCGGTTTTTTGTAAAATAATTCATATAGGAATATGTTATCCTATATTTATTAGTAAAGATATAAATAAATGCCTATGACGAAAAGTAAACATAAACGATAAGAATACTAGTAAGTTATAATTAGTTAGTCAATTGCTACACTTGCTAGTATTTGACCTAAAAATTTTGAGTAGTTAATATTCAAAAAGATAGTAGTAATTGTGACAGTGCTAATCTGTTTAAAAAATTTAGCAATTTTCTAATAATAATAAAAGCAAAAAATATAAAAATCTTATGGTAAACGAAAATTTTATACCAATTGTAAATCAACAAAAATTAGTTGAAGAAATAAGAGAATTAGAAGAAGTTTCTTGATGAAAAGAATATCAAAGTTCAATTAACAAATCTAATTTATCACCTACTGCTCGAAGCAAGATAATTAAGATGTATGGTGGTAATTATGTGAGTGAAAGAGGTAAAGAAGGTTATGGACCGATGCCTATTGAAGATACATTAGTAATTGCTGGTTCTCAAACGATACTTAATAAAATACGTCGCGATTTTCCTAATGTTGCAGAACTTCTTGAATGAAATCCAGACCGCACTTTAGGATTTTTACAGAAAAAAGGTGCTTTAAGTCTTTATCAAGGAACAGATGCATTTAGGGTTCCTTGCTCGCACAGAGATGATTATAGCAAAAGTGGACCTGCTGCATGAAGTGAATATCGAAGAAAAATTGATGAATATGTATCAAATGTTTGTTCTAAGGGAAATGCAAGTAAGCATTATGAGGAATTAGCAGCAGCTAGAGAGGTGTTGGTTGGTTATATACATGAAGAATACTATAAACTTCTTCCATGCTGACCTAGTGTGGGCAATACAAACACAAGAAGTTTTAAAGCAGATATTAGCGGATCTTATAATTATGGTTCAACTAGTCAAGTAGTTTGAAGTTGTATGGGTTGAATAAATGTAGAAGATAAAAGACCTGCTAGCGATGTTTTTATGGCTTCATTTAGTGGCAGTCCAGAAATAAAGGTGCTGATACTTAATCTCCAAAAGTTAAGGGTAATTGAGGATTTTGCACGAGACAAAGGTATAAAAAGTGCACAAGAACATATAAAAAATAAGCAACCTGCCTATCAAATTACTTGGGATGACCTATAATTATTGAACATGAATAAGCCTATTGATTGAGAAAAGTGAGGGAAAGAGATGGAGGATGGATGAATTCGGGAAAGTCTTGAAAGTTCTAAAAGCGGTTCAATTGCTTTTATTAAAGATAAAGATAAGTTAATCCGTTGAGATATCTGCCATGCTCACTGAGAAACTTATCTGTCTACCTCTAACTACTTTAAAAACTGACAAGAGAGAGTAAAAAGTTTTCAAACCAAAGAAGAAGTTAATTTTTATGTGGATAGATTACGGGCATTTATGGATTTTGTTTGAAATAACACTCAAAAAAAACAGTGAGATGCTTTAAAAACTCCTCAACTGATAGAAAAAGAATTAAAAAGATTAGAAAACATAAGTGAGGAGGACTTTAACAAAACTGACAAATGAAGAAAATCAACAAAGTTAGAAGAACTTTCCCCCCAAGAAATATTAAATGACCCCTGATTTAGTAATGAAATAGAAAAGCTTTTTGGTTTGAATGGGAAAAATAATAATGAAAATAATGTTGTTTATACTAATGGTAAAAAAAATGACAAGTTAACTAAAAAATTATTAGGAACATTAAAAGAACAAACGATTCTTAGAATAAACGCCGTAAAAGCAGATGAAACCTTAACTAGTTCAGAGAAACAGAGGGAATTACAAGAAAATCAAGCAAGATTAGAACAACTTCAAAATGCTCTTCATAGTTTGGATAATAATAATAAACCTTTTCCAGTTATTCCGGTTGTTGGAGTAGTCGGTGCGGTTTCTCTTTTAGGATTAGTTATTTTCAGACTCAAAAAAACCAAGTCTAGATAAAAAGATTACAAAGCAAAGTTAAGCAGATTAAGATTAATTAAAAAGAGGGGGGAACTCCTCCGGTTCCCCTTAATAATTCTGGTTCTTACTGAAATTATTAGTTAATCTCTTTTCTTTTTTACAAAAGAATTATTTCAGGTAATCTCACCGCCTTTTTCACTCCGAATATTCAGAAGAATTCTTAATTAATTGATCAATCTCTTGGGTTCATTTTTCCTGTTCGCTGGCTAATTCTTTATCATACCTCCCATTATTCAACTTTAAATCACTCTCACAACTGCTTTTACCATGCTTAACTAATTGCAGATAATGAGCTAATTCATGAGAACAAGTTCCTATCATTTTATCAAAACTAATCTCTAAATAAGTATAATCCCCACTTTGCTCGGGATTGCTAGGAAAATATTGATCATGTCCAAATTTGTTTAACAAATATAAGCGATTAAGGCTAATCTTGGCTATTCTCGGTTCTTTTCAGCACTGGCCCATTTTCCCATAACCATTACCAGGGTTAGGTTCAGAATAAAGACCAGCAAATTTTAGTGGTAAAAGAGAAAGTTCTATTTTCTTATTTTTAGCAAATTTCTCTGCATAATTTCTTAATAAATCACTAAAAAAAGCCTGAATTTTCGGATTATTAACTAAATCATTCGTAGAAACTAAATTAATCTCTTGGAGTAGATATTGCCTTTGAGCTTGTTCTTTTAGTTCTTGTAATTGAGTTCTTATCGCTCACTGCTGATAAACTAAAACACTACTACTAATTAAGACTAAAAACAAGCAAAAAAGACTAGTTCATTTGTAAAAGTTTAAATATTTTTTTCTATGACGAGACGAGACAAGCTGGAAGTGATTATTCATTCTAGTAAGATTTATTCTCTATATCTCCCTAAATACTTGTTAAAAACATACTTTTTCTTTTTTGGCATTTTCTCTCAATATTTGCTTAAACACTCTAAACACAGCACTTTTTCTTTTACCGCTATTACAGATAAACCCTATTCAATTCCTGCCACAACTTTTAAAGCTTCTTGGGATTTTCTCAATGTTTCAGAATCAACCCTTCCGATGTAATCTCTTAATCTTTTTTGAACATCAATAGTTTGCACTCTATTTAGCAAAATTTTGCTGTTCTTTTCTAAACTGTTCTCTTTATTAACCTTAATCAGAACAGTAAAAGGTCTTTCTTTAGTCATTTCCTTTTCTTCACTAGTTAAGGGGGCTACTACTATTTGATCATCAAACTCATTTTGAGCATTGTTGCTAATTACTAAGGCGGGGCGAATTTTGCCGATCTCCTTACCTTTTTTAGAAAAGTAAACTTTGTAAATTTCTCCTTGGTGAGGAAAACCGCGGGGGCAGATTGCTTTTTTACTCATTATTTAACTCCATCACCAACTGCTTCATCCCAAGACTCTAACTCTTTTTTCAATTTCTTATTTTTTGAGAACTCTTGATAATGTTTTTTCAATTCTTGCTCTTTTTCTTTCTTTAAATAGTCTTTGATCAAATCATTTACCAAGGGACTAATTTGTCCGGCAGGAATTCTTCTTTTTACTTCTTGATAAATGTTGGCTTCTAGGCTTAAACTTAGACTTCTTTTCATATTATTATTTTATAGTGTGATTTCATAATGTGTTTTAGTAGTGGGAATAATAATTGTGATTTTATTGTTTAGGAAACGAGAGAAAAAAGGTTATTATTAATTGTTTAGACTTAAAACTTTATCTATAGAGTGAATTTACTATATAAGTAATAAGGATCTATATAATAAATATGCCTATGGTCAGAATAATAGAAATATCTAATAGGAATAATGGAGTTATCTAACTTATTTTAATAAATGAGTTGAATAATTTCTAAATCAATCACTACTTATTAGATATTAGTGCTTAAAAGCGGTTTAGTGATTGGAAATTTAACAAAATATAAATCAAAAAAAAAAAAAAATTAGAAAAATATGGTAAACAATAATGTAATTAATTTAGGTACTATGTCTCTTTACAGTGGAGATGTTATCACTGTTAGATCGGAAGATGGAACATATCTAAAAAGATTTAGCAGTTTAAATGATCAGGATGCAATAGAAAGTTATTTAGACAATCCAGATGATTTCAGTAATTTTGTGGTAGAGGTTATTGGAGAAAATAAGATGCGGCTCAAAGCCGAAAATGGATATTATCTTAAAAGATATGATGGTTGAAAAAATATGAGTTTTATTTCTCTAACAAAAACCCCCGATGCATTTAGCGACTTTTTAGTTAAGAACAAGGATGGAAATAAAATAACTCTTCAAGCTGTAGATAATGGGCAATATTTCAAAAGATATGATGGAGATGAAGGTAGATCTGTAATAACTGCCTATCAAAATTTCGAAGATCCTTACAGTGTTTTTTTAGTAAATAGAGGTGGGACTAAATGCAAAGAGATAGTTAAAGAAATAAAGTTTGATGAAATTATTCAGAATATGATAAAAATCAATCCAAGTATAATTAATGTACAAACGTTGGACAACAGAGAAGGTACTACTGATTTGAAACAAAAATTCGTATTTTCTAGAGAAGTTAAGACAGAAAAGAGATTTGAATGAGATTACAAATTTTCTATAGGTATAGAGACAAAATTCACACAAGGAATACCATTGGTTTTAGGAAATGAAACTACTGTTAAGGCTGAAACAGGTTTCAGTGTAGGTGGTGAGAAAAGTGAAACAGATACTCAAACAGTTTCGTGAGACATTGAATTAACAGCCCACCCAAAGACAATTGTTACAGCAACGTTTATAGTTAACATAGGAAAATTAGATGTTCCTTATACTGCTACAATTGATAGAATTCTTGTCGATAATGTTGGCACTGAAACTAAATACACTTATGAAGTAAAGGGAATCTATAAAGGCACTAACACAGTTAATTCTCGTACTAAACAAGAAACTACTACACGGGAAACGGAACAAATTGCTCAAATTCAAGTTCCTCCGAAGGGAAACAATTAAAATTGATGATAATTAAAAAAAGGGAGAGGTTACTCTCCCTATCTAATAACCATTCTCCCTTAAATATTGCTCAAATATTCTTAAACCCATGAAAAATATTAAGCCCTTAAAAAACCCACTAAAAATAAAGCAATTTTAACTAATTACTGAATACTCTTTAAAATAATAATAATAATATAATAAACTAACTGAAAATATACACTTATTAATACTCTTTAGCTCTTATGAATAGCTCTAATATCTTGTTTTCAAAATTAAAAGAATGAAAATTTCAAAGTAAAAATTCATTATAAACAAATTGTTGCTGATAAGTTGGTGTCATTATCTTTCTTTCCATTTCATTCTGTAAAAGAAAAGGTGTGATTATAGACTTTTTTAACTCTAATACACCAAAATCAACTATTTCTTTTTTTGCCTCGATCATCAGTTGAGGATGCAAAGTTTGTCAAATGTTTAAATTTTCACCATAAATAATTAGTTCTTTACCTATCCAACCATGACCTTTTATGTATTTTATATTCGGATTTAAATATTCTAATCCTTGCTCAATATATGAGTCACTAATATTAAGATGATCTAATTTAGTACAATTTCTTAACGATTCTAATGAACCAATAAAATCATTATAGTTTTCTGTTTTAACTCATTCATCATCATTACCAATATCCAAATAAATTAAATTAACTAAATGACTGAATACTGAAATATTGGTTGTTCTTAAATTATTATTAGATATTCGCAATATTTTTAAAGTTTTAGGATTCAAATAATGATAATCAAAATTAGTTAAGAAATTATTAAAAGAAGAAATCTTTTCTAATTGATTAACTATTGGTATAATTAATAAAGTTAGTTGATTACTAAAGCATAATAGTGTTTTTAAGTTGGAACAATTAGTTAAGTGTAAATTAGTAATTCGATTATTATTACACTCTAATATCTTCAATTCATGACCTTCTGGTATAATTAGTTCTGTTAGTTTATTATCAGAACATTCTAATCTAGTTAATTTACTGACTTTGGGCAGAGTCAACTGAATTATCTGATTATTAAAGCATCATAGTTCCTCTAAATTACTATTTTGAGACAAGAATAATCTTGTTAATTGATTACTATTACACGCTAATCTTCTTAAATTGACAAAATCAGAAAGATCTAAATCACCGATCAATTTCTTTTTACTAATATCTAATTGAGTAATCTCCGATCTTTTTTTGCCCTTATTATTGTATCCACTATCACTCAAGCAGACTCCATTTTTAGGATAATATTGATCTAAAAATCCTTGAGCATCTGGATATTCACTTCATTTTTTATATTCAACTTTTAATTGTTTATAATTAATCCGCTGAAGATCGATACCTCGATTTCGAGCATAAACCGCTAATTGAACTTCATCTTTGTTTAAACCTGCTGATAGTCAAACTTGAGTGCTTTGTGGGTCAAAATTTTGCTTTTTTCATTTTTCTACCAATTCATAATCTTCTGGCTGAAAACCTACGGCAATTCATTCCTGAACTTCAGAGTGAGTGATTTTTTTCTCCTTTCACTGGCAGATTTTATTATATTCATTTTCTTTAAAAAATTCTGAATGAAGAGTATTTCACTTGGCTTTTTCTTCTTTTCAGCCTTGGTAACATTCTTGGGAGCAAAGATCTAATTTTCTTATGCGACTAGAAAGATAAATGTTGCTGATAATTACTGAATCACCACAGTTGCCACAAGTTACTGAGTTAGTTACCGAAAGATCATCAAAAAGTTTTTTTAATCTTTCTTTTTCATAATTATCATAATCGTTAAACTGTGTAAATTTTACTCCTTCAGAGATTAAAAGATCAATAAATTTATAATCAGTGGTAGTTAAGCCGGTTATCAGCCATTTCTCAGCATCTGTTCTGGTTAAACCTATTTCAGTTCATCATCATTGATAAGTTTTATCATGATGATATTTAGCAAAATCTTCATGAAGATCAGTCCAATTCTCTTGATTATTAGTGATCATATCTTATTAAAAAGGTTCTTAATTCTCGACCATCACTTAATTGAGCAGTTAATTTTTCTAAATGAATGGCTAGATTGATTATTTTGGCTTCTTTTTTGTAAGAAATATCCCCTTTTTAGATTATTACCGATTGTTTTTTTTCTGCTTTGTTTAGACTAGTTCGCATGATATTTATAGGTTTTCCATTATGTTGTAATTTTACCATCTTAGTTATTTTAACAAAAGAAAACCCAAAAATATTTATTCCTCCCCTAATCAGTAGTTATGACGGGAATAACTTTCAAAAAGGACTAAAAAAGGGGTTGTTTTTCCAAAAATGTCTGAAACAAACAACCAAAAGAGGAGAAATAAACCAAGAAAAAGGTCAGGAATAAATATTTTAGAAATTAAAAAATGTGGTAACAAAAAAAATAATTGACTTTCCTTTGGTAGAAATAGAAATTAACAAAAACAAACTATTATAATTACCTCCTATTTAGGACAAACTAAAATTTGTAATTCGTATTGTTCGCTTCCAATATCAATAATCATTTCCTTTCTCTCATAAGTTTTTTGCTCTTTTCTATCCAACCATTTTTGAGGATTTTCTAGAAAATTTTTTATTGATTCCATAATTTTCTTACGTTTCTCTGTCTCTTGTTTTCACTCATTTTCCCAATCTTCTATTATTTTATTCCTTTTAGGACAAAAAAAACAACAATCTAAGCAGCCTTCTTCTTGAGTAGTTATTACAAGACCAACGGATGCATAGCAACACCAAAGGCGTAAAGGTGTATAACAAGGACAACATGTAACACAACATAGAAATTCTGCCGACAGTGCCATGCATCTTCCAAATTAAATTTGTGCAGCTTTATTGACAAAATCACTTTTTAAAAAGGTTAATAATCCTAATTTTGAACTAATTAAATTTTTTTCTCTTTGATCGTGTTCCTCATTTAAATCTAACTGTCTGCCCAAATTATTACTGCATATTCTAAAAATTTCTTTTAACTCTCAGTAACTAGAACAAAGGTTTTCTGTGTCTTTTTTAAGATCGTCTAATTCTTTTTTTCTTTCTTCGACATTAAATAATTTTTCCTTGGCGATGGAAGAAAAGAATTCGATATAAACAGAAATCAAGGTGGTTATTCCTCCTACTTGTGTGTATTGATTATCAAAGTCTCCTCTACCAACTAGTAATAAACTTCCTCCTATTGCTGAAGTGCCTCGATTTAAGTATTGAAAGAGGTTATAAATTTTCTCAGTGGCTGGAGAATCTAATAGTCCAGAAACTTTTTTTTCATCGCCTCATTTATCTTGATAGTTTTTAATATCTCTTCGGATGTTATGTATTCTTTCGAGAGGAATGTTGTTAGAAGTTATTATTATTTCTCTTTGATTTT